GGTCAGGAGATCGAGACCATCCTGGCTAACACGGTGAAACCCCGTCTCTACTAACAAATACAAAAAACTAGCTGAGCGAGGTGTCGGGCGCCTGTAGTCCCAGCTACTCGGGAGGCTGAGGCAGGAGAATGGTGTAAACCCGGGAGGTGGAGCTTGCAGGGAGCTGAGATCCGGCCACCGCACTCCAGCCTGGGTGACAGAGCGAGACTCCGTCTCAAAAAAAAAAAAAAAAAAAAAAAGAAAGCCCCTTCGCCCACTCTTTTCCCAATGATCTCATTTCCAATACCTTCATAAGCCCTTTCGTTCATTTGATATACAGTCTTTCATTTGAAAGCAGTCTCACATGTTAATGTGTCAGATAAAGCTTGCATCTAAAGACTGCTTTCAAATGAAAGGTTCATAGTCTTCTTGTAATGTTTTTATGTGGTTTTGAAATTGGGACCTGGCAGATGCCACCTGAACCAAGGGGTCAAGGTTAACATCCCCAGCAATGGGAGAGGCGGCGTCATACGCTCTGATAAGCTACATAAGAAGAGCACGTGGCTGGGTCCACTGGCTCACACCTATAATCCCAGCATTTGGGGAGGCTGAGTGGTTCTCTCCGCTTGAGGCCAGGAGAACTGCTTGAGGTCAGGAGTTTGAGACCAGCCTGGGCAACCTAGGGAGATCTTGTGTCTGCAGAAATGTTAAAAAATTAGCTGGGCACAGCGGTGCGTAGACTCTGGGGTTCCCAGGGGTCTCAGACTCCACTCCCGTAGGGCTGGACCCCAGGTGTGGCCTGTACCGGATGTCGCTGGCTGACATTTGCTTTCTTTATGACTCCCTTCCTTTATTGCACTATTTAATTGTATTAAATGGTGCCCGAGGCATAAGGTGCAGGATTTTATGGCCTCAGGGTGACCCTGCAGCGAGGCCTGGCCCTTTCCATCTTTACTTTGTGAAGCCGGGGCTGCCCTGCCCTCAACGGTGATGCTAGGGAAGCCCTTGACTCATGTACCAGGAATTGGGAGGGACACCAAAGTCTGCGCTGTTTTCTATGCAGAGCTGCGGCACTCGTTACAGAAACCAGAAAACACAGACCCGTCCGTGGGTAGAAGAAAAATGTCCCTCTCCCCTTCCCCCGAGAAGCCTCTTAATCCTTCAACATCTTTCCCACCTTCTGTGCATTTCTGGGAGATTCCTGACATTGTAGTGGGCACTCCTGGGGACAATTCTGTAGCTGGAGTCTTTTCATTAAATGACATTTGACGTCTCTGAACATAAAGCAACACACGTGCACTGAGGGAACGTCCAGATGCAAAGACGTGTTCGGAAGCTCCAGCGTCCAGTGTCAGCAGCCTGGGGTCCCCAGGCAGCAGCGTCATTCCAGGTGGGGAGGGGCCCGGCTGCTGGGTGCTGTGGCCTGACAGTTGCTCGTCTGTGATGGGTTCTGGACGGCAGCACCCTTGCTGGTTATGGGGGTGAACGGTGTTCGTGAATCTCTGCCGGGCATGGGCACCCGCGGGTCCTCCTAAGTTCTCCTGGTTATTACTGTAGATTGTTTTATAGCTTCTTTTCCCCCACAATATATTGGGGAAATTAAATACGTGCTGAGAACATGATTATTTATTTAGTTATTTAGTCATTTATTGTGAGGCAGGGTCTTGCTCTGTTGCCCAGGCAGGAGTGCAGTGATGCAATCTTGGCTCACTGCAGCCTTGAACTCCTGGGCTCAAGCGATCCTCCTGCCTCAGCCTCCAGAGTAGCTGGGACCACAGGTGTGCACCACCATGCCCAGCTAATTTTTTAGTTTTTAGAGATGGGGCTGTCACTATATTGCCCAGGCTGGTCTTGAACTCCCCGTCTCAGGTGACGCTCCCGCAGATCCAGTACCATCTTCCCAGGCTTTCTGTTTTCCTCCTAGGAGAGCCGTGGTTAAGAGGTCAGTCCAGCCTGACTGTCGTTCTGCCTCTGCTACTCATCTTGGCGCCTGCATCCCGCTCGCCTCTGACGGCTGAGAGCCTCCACTCGGCCGTCCGGGGTCTATTCTTCCCATTGCAACTCTTTTCCAGCTGTGGCTCCCACTGTGAGGTCTGCGGCCCTCAGAGAAGAGCGGCCCAGGGGTCTGTCCCTATCTCTATCCCCCTCACTAATCTGGTTCCCAGTGTGGCGAAAGGTCTGTCTTCTGGACCTTCTGTGTGGGGGAGGAGGTCTTACGTGACAAACCCACCCTAGCCTTCCAATCTCCCTAGGCCTTTGTGTCCTGTCCTCCACAGTAAACCGAGGCAGGTCTGGCATTTCCAGTTTAATGTGGCCCCTTTTTTGTCTATGTTGCAGCCAATGGAGCAGCCGGCGGTTCGCGCCCAGCTAACTCCCCGAACCACACCTCAAAAGGCAGACTCTGCTTGGTGGGCGCCTGCGGCATGCTCGGCATGACCTCCTCGTGGTCCTCCCACACCCCTTGACCGCATTTCTGTCTCTGCGGGACGGACACGCCGCGCTGCTCTTGCCATGGGTCACCTCCGTGGCTCGCACTCAGCCTCCGGCTCTGGGGCCTGCTGGACTTAAGTCAGCACCTCAGTGAGGATCAAACCCTTGTTCTTACGCACGCGTTTTTAGGGAGGTAACACATTCCTCTCTTTTTTTATTATTTCTTCCTTTGTATGCTTAGAAAAGTGCTCTTCGCTAAAGATCAGATAAATTCTGACTCTATTTTCTTCTCTTTTTTAAATGATCCTCCTTTTTCCTTATTTTTTACCATATAAGCATTTCTCATGTTAAACATTAAACATTATTTTTTACTAAACATTATTTTAAAATTTAAAATTTTTTTAATTTTAATGAGTTTTTTTGCTTTTTTTTTTATCCTGGGTTTTTTTGTTTTTTTGTTTTTTTTTTTTTTTTTGAAATGGAGTCTCGCTCTGTCCCCCAGGCTGGAGTCAGTGGTGCAATCTCGGCTCACTGCAAGCTCCGCCTCCAGGGTTTACACCATTCTCCTGCCTCAGCCTCCCGAGTAGCTGGGACTACAGGCGCCTGCCACATGCCCGGCTAATTTTTTGTATTTTTAGTAGAGACGGGGTTTCACCGTGTTAGTCAGGATGGTCTCGATCTCCTGATCTCATGATCTACCCGCCTCGGCCTCCCAAAGTGCTGGGATTACAGGCTTGAGCCACTGCGCCTGGCCTCTTTTTTTTTTTTTGCAATGTAGTCTCACTCTGTCACACAAGCTAGAGTGCAATGGCGCATTTTTTGTGTTTTTTGTGGTTTTTCTTTTCTTTTTTTCTTTTTTTCTTTTTTTTTTTTTTTGTGATAGTCTCACTCTGTCACCCAAGCTGGACTGCAGCGGCACGATCTCAGCTACCTCTGCCTCCTAGGTTCAAGCGATTCTCCTGCCTCAGCCTCCTGAGTAACTGGGATTACAGGTGTGCCCCACCACACCTGGCTAATTTTTGTATTTTTAGTAGAGATGGGGTTTCACCACATTGGCCAGGCTGGTCTCAAACTCCTGGCCTCAAGTGACCCAACAGCTTTGGCCTTTATTTTCATTGTTTTTGAATAGGTAAAGAACAGATCATGAAAGCAAACTTCCCTCCTGCCTGGTCGTCCCAGCTCCCTTTCCCCTGCCCGGAGATGACAGATCGCCATTCTCTACACTAGTTTTACAAGGATTCTACAAGTCTAAAATGATTTCACGGTAAGAAGTCTGTGACGATGGTCGTTATGGAAAACAGCATGGAGGTTCCCAGAAGCCTAAACACAGAACCACCATGTAATCCGGCTGTCCCACTCCCGAGTGCGACACGTGAACCACCACGTAATCCGGCTGTCCCACTCCCGAGTGCGACACGTGAACCACCACGTAAGCCGGCTGTCCCGCTCCCGAGTGCGACACGTGGAGGCCGCATCAGTATGCGGAAGGGACGCCTGCACCCCATGTTCGCCGCAGCGCTGTCCACTACGGCCAGACGGAACCAGCCGCAGCCTCCGGCAGCCAGGGAAGGGCATCCACGTCAGAGAACTGCTCCTCCACAGAAGAGGGAATGTGTCACTGGAACTGCAGGACTTTATGTGGAACAGAGGAGGCCAGGCCCAGAAAGATACACACTGCGGGATCTCACTCATACAGGGAACCTAGAAATGCTGAACTCACAGAAGCAGAGAGAGGACCCGGGGATATACAGGCTGGGAACTGGGGAGGGGTTGGTCCAAGGGTACAAAGTTTCTGTTACAGACCGGGAACAGTGGCTCACGCCTGTAATCCCAGCACTTTGGGAGGCCAAGACAGGTGGATCACCTGAGGATAGGAGTTCGAGACCAGCCTGGCCAACATGATAAGACCCCATCTCTAAAAATACAAAATTAGGCCAGGCGCGGTGGCTCATGCCTATAATCCCAGCACTTTGGGATGCTGAGGCGGTCAGATCACAAGGTCAGGAGATCAAGATCATCCTGGCCAACATGGTGAAACCCCATTTCTAAAATACAAAATTAGCTTAAAATACAAAAATTAGCTAGGTGTGGTGGCAGGTGCCTGTAATTCCAGCTACTCAGGAGGCTGAGGCAGGAGAATTGCTTGAACCCAGGAGGCAGAGGTTGCAGTGAGCCGAGATGGCACCACTGCACTCCAGCCTGGCAACAGAGCGAGACTCCGGCTCAAACAAACAAACAAAAAAATTAGCCAGGGGTGATGGCGTGTGCCTGTAATCCCAGCTACTCAGGAGGCTGAGGCACGAGAATTGATTGAACCTGGGAGACAGAGGTTACAGTGAGCCAAGATCGCACGACTGCACTCCAGCCTGGCTACAGAGCAAAATTCTATTTCAAAAAAAAAAAAAAAAAATCCGTTAGACAAGAGGAATAAATTCAAGAGATGTACTGCACAGCATGGTGACTACAGTTAATAACACCATATTGCGTCATCCTTGAAAATCAATAAGAAAGGAAAAAAAGAAAGAAAATCATTGCGAGTAGATTTTGAGTGTTCTCACCACAAAAAAACGGGAAGTATGTGAAGTCATGTGTGTTATGCCACTTGATTTAACCACCATGTAAACACGTTTCAAAACATCAGGTTGGACATGATAAATATATACAATAAAAGAACAAAATAAGAAAATACATTTGCAAAATGAAGCATTCTTATTGTGCGGGCTCTGCTGGTCGCCTGGTCTCAGTTCTGGTCTTTGCAGGACTCTGGGTCCGGTCCTCTCTCCGCAGCGATCTGGCGTCCCCTCGGCGGACAGGATCCCTGGCCCCGCTCACCGGACAGCGAGCTCACATTCTCTCTGCCGATTCAGCGGGAAGAGAGGCCCCTGGGGACAGTCCCGATGTCGAACTCCACGCGGCCAGCACCTCGACCCTGGCGGGAGCACTCCTCCCTGAGGAAGCAGGACCTCCAAGCTAGAGTGAACGGTGGCTGTGTGAGCAGGCGGCTGGTGCCACAGGGACGGTGGCCGTGACTCCCACCTGTGATTCCTGGATACCATCGCCACAGAGAAGCGGCACCAGGCATGGATGGCAAGCATCTGGTCCGTTCTGTGGGGTTGCGCCCATCCTTTCGTGGGACCTCCCAGCCGGCGCCATAGCTGGTCTTCAGGGGCCGTCCCATGCTCTATTAACCTGAGCATGGGTTGAGTCCTGCTGCGGGAAGCGGCATTGATGGGGGTGTGATGGACAGTGGGGTGCTGTCGAGTCCATGGACGGAGTCATGGGCAGGCACAGCAAGTCCACACTCAGAAAACTGCGAGGGCCTCTGTGACAGCTGACGACCCGTCCCTGTCCTGTCTGTAGAGGGCCAGCGAGGCAGGCGAGGACCTGTCCCCGGGGAATGGCATGATGAGGGGGCGGGTTGCTGACCCTGGAGTCAGCAGGGCACTTGTGCTGCGGGGCCGTGCACAACCCCCATCCTGCCACATCCCAGCTTCCTCCCGGGCCCCTGGGGCCTGCCTGGCATGGCTGCTGAGCGACCGTGGGCGCTGACCTGTGACCGTCGTGAACACACCACAGGCCACGCTGGCTCTCCCATCTTCTGCGTCCCTCCACGTCTTCCACGCCCTTGACACTTTTGAGGGGCGCTGGGCAGGTGTGTGTAGAATGTCCCCTTGTTGGGGACATTGGATGTTTTCTTATGATTGAGATTGGGGTTACGCATTTTTGTCCAGGAAACTGCAGAAACCACATGCTCTACTTTATTTGTGTTTTTATTTTATAGAGACAGGGCCTCACTCTGTTGCCCAGGTTGGAGTGCAGTGGTGCCATCACGGCTCCAGCCTGAGCCTGGAGTGGGGACAGGATGACGAGAGCTCACCCGTCTCCCAGCGGCTCTCCAGGGCACGCTCTGGCTGTGGCTCGGACACGGACACCCTGGACTCCGGGGGAAGCTCCAGCTGCATTCTGAGCTCCTTTCTGGAGACAGAAGTCAGAGGATACCAAGACCCCTCCGGAGGTCCCCTAGGGCAGGTGTGGCTCAGACCCCTTCAGCCTCTAACCAGACAGGAGCCAGGGCCTGGGGTCCCCAAAGGAAAATGAGGGGTGACTAATGAGGCTCAGGAGACTGGGGTGGGGCCATCTCAGGGGGATGCATCTGGCACCTGGTTTCAGGGGTGTTTGCTGTCCACCTGGAGCACCCTGGATTGACCCTGGCCCTTCCTTCCCCTGGAGCAGCATCAGGGAAGGAAAGGGGCTGCCCCGTCGGGCCATGCTGGATCTGAGCACACAGGAGCGCTGTGAAGAAGCCAGGCCGCTTCTCACAGTTTTGTTATGAAGATCGTTTAGGGCCCATGGTCTCCCCTGAAAGAATCCGGGGAACCTCCAGGGACCCGTGGGCCATGTGGGAGAGCAGCTGAGACAATCTGTCACCTGAGACAATTATTAGTATCACCAGGTGAATATCAACGCCTGGGTGGGGAATTCCCTGGAGCAGGCAGGTGGGAGCTGGAGGAAATGCTGTCAGCATCGCCACCCTCGGCCCCTGCAGAGCTGAAATTGTTAGAAGAGGCCACTCCTGCCTTTCCTGACTATCAACTTCCTCTGTCCAAGATGGGGCTGGGCCCTGGAGGCGACTCGCCTAGCCCAGTCCCAGGCAGGTCAAACAGGCCCCCTGCACCTGTTCCCTGCCTTTTTGGGGCCTCAGTTTCCCTACCTGGCCCCTGGAGGCCTCTCCAGGCTTGCAGCCTGCTGCTGGAGCTGGTTTTGGGGGGTGGACAGCAGGCAGACCCCCAGGCCTGCAGAGGAGCTCGCAGGCAATGCACCAGCTCCTTCAAGGAACAAACAAAGGCTGCAGTTCCCAGGAAGGGCTGACAGCTGCGGGCCAGGGCGGGGAAGAAAGTCCACAAGGAGGTTCAGCGGCCCACCCCGCAGCCTCGCCCTGACCGCATTTATGGCCAGATCCTGTTGTAGGCACAAGTCCAGCTCCACCGCCCTCCCTCCTGCTGGCATCTTCCGGGAACTGGCAGGGGCAGCGGGAACCCAGGAACCCGGGAGCCAGGAGACGGGCCAGGATCAGCATTTGCTTCTCATTACTGGAGATGGAGGAAATGGGCAGCTTGTCCCGCTGTCCAGACTGTAGACCTGGGGCAGCATCATCAAGAGTGGAAGATGACGTCCTCCAGCTCCCCAGACTCGGCCCTCCCGGAGTCCAGGGCTGCCAGGCTGCCCTCTGGCCCAGGGGGAAGTGCCTGTGGAGGATGAATGAAGCCGGAGGGCGCTGGGGCCCGGTGCTCAGGCGTCTGTCCATCATGTTCTGCAGGGAGCAGCCTCCCAGGGACCCCACTGCCTCCTGGAGCCCCGGGGGAGGAGTGGATAGTGGCCAGGAGGATGTTTACCAGGTGGCATCCGGTAGGAAGGTTAGGGTGAGGCTAGCGGTTAGGGATTAGGGCTTGGGGTGTAGGGCTGGGTCTAGGGTTAGTGTTGGGGTCAAGGAGTTTGGGTGGGGGCTTGGGGTGAATTTAGGGCAGGGATAGGCTGGGGTGAGGGTAATTTGGGGTGATACGTTAGGTTAGGACCCTGGGGCCATGCTGGTTCTGACACATTCAAGGGCACTTTGTCAGCCATCAAACAGGGCAAGACACACCACTTGGGTGACACAGGGCCGCCCAGCCCTGCACCTGCACCTGCACCTGGGGCCCCTCCTGTGCCCACAAGGCCTCCCCTGGTCAGCTGGGAGGGCTCCGCTAGCTGCCTCCTATCCCTAAGTGGATGCAGTCCCTGGATCCTTCCCCCAGGGCTGGTCACACCCAGCTGACCACTCCCCTCTGGGCCCAGGCAGTCACCAAGGGGGTCAGCTGTCCTCAGTCCACTCAGCCACACAGGCCTGGGCCATGGGTGGGGCTGCAGGACACATCTCCCCTACAGCTGGGCAGGTCCATGGTGTCCAGGCAGCCTGCCCTGGCCCTGCCCCAGGTCACGCCTGGCATGCAGAGGACAGGAGGGCGGCAAGACCCCCGCTTCCAACCCCCTTCTGTGGCCCAGATAAGGTTCTGGGGAAGTCACTTCTTCCAGGCCCAGCTTCGGGAGGGTTGCAGTGTCCACACATATCTCTCCCTGCAGCTGAACCAGGCACCAGGGGAGGCCCCCAGACAGCTGTGGGAACTGCAGGAAGGAGGGGAGGCAAGGAGAGGGCAGGAAGTAAAGGAGGGAGGAGCTGCCCAGGCATCCCCCAGGTAGGGGTGCAGGCTCCTGGGGACACTGGGGACCCCAGGTCCTCCCTGGCCCTTCCCAGCTGGCCCACCTTTGCTCTGCATACAGCCGGTGCTCTGCATACAGCCAGTGCTCTGCATACAGCTGGTGCTCAGCAAAGCTTGCTGCTGCTGATGGACGATTCCATGACTCACTCCAGCATCTCTGTGCCCCAGGAGACGGTGGCCTCCTGGCCCCAGCCTGTGCCCTCTGCGGCCATCACGGGCCCGACCAGGCCTGTGGTCACAGGCGAGGCCAGGGCAGGGAGGAGGCCCTGACCACAGCAAAGGAGTCTGCAGCAGGGGAGGCACCAGCACCCAAGTGCCCGTGCCCAGGGAGGTGCCACCTCCGACAGGGCGTCAGGCTTGGGACACAGTTGCCGGGGGAGCAGCAGGGACAGGGAGGGGGCGGAAACCCGGCAGCGGGTCAGCTCCGTGACTGCAGCCCCGTGGGGGCAGTGGCTTTCAGGGACTCACAGCCCAGAAGGGCCTCACCTTCGGCCCCTTCCAGCAGTAGCACCAACTGCCGTGGCCGCCCACATTACCCTCGTCCTGACGGCTGCCCACACCAGATCCTCTGTGGCCAGCAGTCCTGTCATCCACATCCCTATCTTGCTGAAGAGCGGGCGGTGAGGACACAGGAAAGCCAGGCTGTCACCCGCCCAGGGCCAGAGCCACGATGGGTCCCCCAGGTGGGAGAGCCCTGGTCTCACCCCCAGAATGGCCCACCCTGTCCCACAGCCAAGATCTAACGCCAGTCTCCCAAGGAGTGGGCACAGGGGCGGGGAGGGAACTTTCCATGGTGGTCCAGGGGCTGGGGAGCCTCAGGGGTCACGAGAAGCTGGTGGAGCCAGGGAGCTGTAGCCACAACGTGGGTGCAGGTGCCCCAGGACGGGGAGGGGAGGCCGTGGCCTTGGGTGCTACCAGCCCCCGCACCGGCACTCAGGCAGCATAGGGGCACATTTTGGGCCTGGGGGACTGTGCCATCATGGCCAGGAGCACCTTGAGAAGCCAGGAGGGCCAGCCAGGGTAGGGCAGAGCAGAGTGGGGCAGGGACAATCTGCCCAGAAGTGTCACCGCCCCTCAGACACCCCCAGACTCGCCTGGGCCAGGATAATACGCAGTCCTCGGCCCAAGGCCCTGAATTAGGTACCTGGGGACCTGCACGTCTGGCCAGGACCCCTGCCTCTCTGTGCAGAATCCTGATGCCCCCTGGCAGGCCCGGGGGTTCAGCAGAAGCAGGTTGCAGCCCCCACACCCCTCTAATGGGCCACATAGAAGGTGGGCCAAGGGCAGCGGCTGTGGGGCCTGGGACACAGCAGCTGTGACGCTGCCACAGACAAGGGTCGGGTCCAGGAGTGGAGGACCCAGGGCAGTGACGAGGAGATGCAGACAGACCTGGCTTGAGATGAGGTCTGGGTGGGAGTCCAGGGGGTGGGGATCCCAGCTTCCCAGGCACCGGGGGAAGCCCCCGCCCGAGTCCTCGGTGAGCTGAGTCTCCAGGGTCTGGTGCTCCCGGCGTCCTGGCCAGGCCTTGTGGCTGTGGAGGGACAGAAACCAGGCCCAGCTTCCTGCTGGGGGTCACCTCTCCCCGGGTGTCTAGGGCATCGCTGCGTCTGAAAACTAGCAGGAAAGGGGTGCTCGGTGCAGCCTCAGGGCCTTGGGGACCCCCTTGGATCTTGCCGGCTCCCAAAATGCAGAGGGAGAGTCGGGCAGTGGGGCCAGGGCTGCAGCCCCCATGTCTCCTCCATGTCTGCCCAGCTCTGTCTACCTCAGGGAGGCAGGACTCCTCAGACTGGACCTGGCCCCTACCCGCCCCGGGCGCTTGGAGCAAAGTCTGTGGTCCCAGGCTCCCTGACAGCGGATGCTTCCCTGCCCAGCCCAAGCCATCTGCAGCCAGACCAGAGGCTGGTGTGGTGCTGTGGAAGGTTCCGGAGGGCGAGAGCCGTGATGCTGCAGTTCGCCAGCAGGTGGCAGCTGGCGCCCGCACTGCGGCCCGGAGGAGGGTTGGGCAAGGTGTGTGCTCAGGGCCATGCGGCCCAGGTGTGTGTCTGCGTGTTGGCAAGTCCGGTGCCTGGGTGGCTCTCAGGCATCTTGTGGAGCACAGGCAGCAGCAGCCAGCAAGGAGCACTCTGGTCCCATTGATGGGAGGCTCCGGGACAGACAGCACTGAGGGGAGAGAAGCTGGGCAGGTGGGGCCGCCAGGGCAGGTGTGAGGGTGACCCCGCCAAGCAGCACAGGGACGATCTGAACCCTGCAGGGCCCGGCAGCACCTGAATAATGGGAGAAGCTGTGCGAGCCCACGTGTGAGCCATGAACAGGCACCACAGCAAGGCGGGCAGGCAAGGCGGGCAGGCGTGGGTCCTGTACACACGGGTGTGGGTGTGACTGAGCAACCACTCGCCCTCTCACATCCCCTGCAGTGAGCGTAGGGGCACCGGCCTCTCATTTCTCAGCCCCGCTGGGCCCACCTCCTGCCTGGCCTCCCGGGGACTGACCTGTGGCCTCCTACCACCCTCGAACTGCAGGGGTTGCCTGTCCCCGCCTTTGTCCCCACACCTGGGGCCTGTCCCCGCCTTTGTCCCCGCACCTCAGGCCTGTCCCCGCCTTTGTCCCCACACCTGGGGCCTGTCCCCGCCTTTGTCCCCGCACCTCGGGCCTGTCCCCGCCTTTGTCCCCGCACCTCGGGCCTGTCCCCGCCTTTGTCCCCGCACCTCGGGCCTGTCCCCGCCTTTGTCCCCGCACCTCGGGCCTGTCCCCGCCTTTGTCCCCGCACCTCGGGCCTGTCCCCGCTTTGTCCCCGCACCTCGGGCCTGTCCCCGCTTTGTCCCCGCACCTCGGGCCTTTGTTGACACCTGTAGGCTCAGGTACCACGTGGGGCCCGGGACACTGGGGGCCGCAGCACATCGGGGAGGGGAGGCTGCAGTCTGGGCCCAAGGGCGTCCAGCCTCTCCACTCCCTCCCTGGTGACCTTGGGCAGAGGCCGCCCGTCTCTGTGCCTGTTTCCGCGTCTGTGTGGCACAGAAGACGTCTCCACCTGCAGTAAATCCGGGGATGGCAGAAGCGTCCGTCCCGCCAGCCGCACGCCCCGCCAGCCGCACGTCACGCCCCGCCAGCCGCACGTCACGCCCCGCCAGCCGCACGTTACGTCCCGCCAGCCGCACACCAGGAGCCCTTTGCTGCCAGGATTGACTGGGGATGCCTCAGGCTCTGTCAGGGCTTGGACCCTCCCTGCCTGGGTACCTCTGACCCAGCGACAGGGAAGGCCACCAGGGCAACCCCAGAGGCCTGTCCAGCTCGGAGCCAACCCCTCCTGCACCGGGGTCCCTGAGATTCACCCTGGCAGGCAGCAGGAAGGCACGGTGCCCGGTGGCCTTCTTCCCCCACGGGGAGGGTCTGGGCTGGGCTCTTCTTTGATAGGCCACCTGGGTCCCACCTCAGGCCTGGAGGAAAGTGGAGGGGTCCACACCGTGGCTGGCCCCGGGACTGGGGACACATGGGCACCAGGACACACGAGGCCCATGGGGGCCGGGAAAGTCCCCAGAATCCCCACTCACCACTCCGGGTAGGGAAGAGGCGGGGCCAGCCTGTTGACGTGCATCTCCTGCTGTCCAGAGAATGCTCCAGACATCCCCATTTTCCTGCAGAAGGGACGTCCTTGCTGGGGAGTCGGTGGCTGCAGCCAGTTAGTGGTGACTCCCAGAAGGTTCCAGGCCCCATCCAGCCAGAACCCCAGAGCCAGACCTGGGGCCACAGGGCATGACGCCGCTCTGCCTACACGGGGATGGGCAGCTGCCCACGGCCATAGACACAGGCTTTGAGGAAGCGACAAGGCTCTTGCATCAGATTAAAATGCTGCCAAGCGGAAGAGTTGGCAAAAAGCTCTCACGGAGCAGCTGGTTCAGGGCCAGCAGGCGCTGGGGTGGCACGGGGGCCCTTTGGGTGCTGTGGCAGTGCCTGTCCCTGGCTCCCAGCCTGGGAGCCCCAGCAGTGCCTTGCACAGCTGGCCCAGACATGCAAAGGGCCAGAGCCCAGCACGTGGCAGTGTTGACCGTCATAATTGTTATTGCCATAATCATCATGATCATCATTGCTATTATTATATTATCACCAGGAAACTCACCTACCTTCTGCAGGCTGCGGGTGAGGCCAAGGGGCAGAGGGCTGGGGGCTGATGTGGGCCGGCAAGGCCCAGGCCACGAGGGTGCCACCTTCATCCCAGGGATGCCAAGGCCCAGCAGAAGGTGAGCAGGGGAGGAGAGATCCTTACCCCAGGGTGACCCCACGGCGGGGGCTGCACATGGGCACCCACTGGAGGCCTGGGGGAGACAGGTGTGGCTCGGACGCTCTTTAGCAAGGTGGGAGCCAGGGCTCCCTTAAGAGGTCCACCTTAAGAGGTCCTCCAGAGTGACCCAGGGAGAACCATTCTCCGTCCCACCCACTCCTGGATCTCAAGCTCCCAGGACGCAGAGAGAACCTGAGCCATTGCCCGGTTTGTGCTGCTTGATCACGGTGGCCCCAGGAAAGCAATTCAAGAGTTGCAGCGATGCTGCCCAGCCCCACGGGCAGGGAAACCAGGGCCAGGAGGCGGCGCTGGGGGCTGCAGCTGGGTGGACCGCGCGGCTGGGGTATGTTCCCTGCCCGCTACTCTTCTACATGTTTCCAGGTTTTATTTAGTGACTATGCTCCACTCTGTATTAAAGTATCAAGATTCCATTTCATCAAGGACTAGCATGTTTAGCAAAGAGAGTAGCAGAGGCCGGATTTAGCAACTGAAAGACTCCAGGAAACATGGAAACAACAGCTGTCAAGACGTTGGACATCAGGCGACGAAGAGAGACAGCGGCTCCCTCCAACCCGCTGCTACCCGGAAACACCACGGCCTGAGTGGCGTAAAAGCAACAGACACGCATCTCCACAGCTGCGGAGGACGGGACGTTCAAGGTCGACGCTCTGGCAGATTCGATGTCCGGTGAGGTCACTCCCTGGTTCATGGACGGCACCTTCTCGCTGGGTCCCCCTCCCCTCTGGTAGAAGGGGTAGGAGAGTTCTCTGAGGTCTTTTTTTTTTTTGAGACAGGAGTCTCGCTCTGTTGCCCAGGCTGGAGTGCAACGGTGCGATCTCGGCTCACTGCAAGCTCCACTTCCCAGGTTCAAGTGATTCTCCTGCCTTAGCCTCCTGAGTAGCTGGGATTACAGGTGCCCACCACCATGCCCAGCTAATTTTCGTATATTTAGTAGAGACAGGGTTTCACCATGCTGGCCAGGCTCGTCTCAAACTCCTGACCTCAGGTGATCCAACTGCCTTGGCCTCCCAAAGTGCTGGGATTACAGGCGTGAGCCACCACCCCTGGCCTCTGGGATCTCTTTTGTAAGGACACTAACCTCATTCTTGAGGGCTCTGCCACCTCCTCAAGTCCCCACCTCCTAATATCATCACCTTGGGCACTAGGATTTCAACATAGGAACTGGAGGGTGAGGAAGACACAAACATACAGTCCGTGGCAGACACACAAGGGGAGCCTTAAAACTGCCCAGGTCACCACCGGGAGGGTCTCCAGGACAAGGGGAGCCTTAAAACTGCCCAGGTCACCGCCGCGAGGGTCTCCAGGACAAGGGGAGCCCTAAAACTGCCCAGGTCACCGCCGCGAGGGTTTCCAGGGCAAGGGGCCAGGAAGGGGAACTCAGGAAGAGCTCAGCTGAGAGGCCACGGAGGCCACGGCTGCTGGAGTGCACAGGACACTGGCAAGGAGAGAGCTGCCCAGAGCAAAGCGTAGAGACCTGCAGAAAGTCCACCTTGAGTGTTTGGCAGAGAACCCGCTCAGCACGCGCCTAGGAGGCGACTAAGGCTGACGAGCAACCACCCGAGAGCAGCGGCGCCCACACACGCCGGGAAAAGCACAGCTCCTGCCAGCGCCACCGAGAACCCTCGCCACTCAAAATTCACGGTGCAGTGGGCAGAGTCTCTGTCCCTCAGGGTCTTGCCTCAATGGTGAGGAGTAGTTTGCCCTGGACTCGACACTGCCCTGATGCCACCTACAAGTCACAAAAGGCCCAGGAGGCCCCTCTCCAATCCCTTAATTACGTCCCAGAACAAAGCTCCAAGACACAAAAGCCTCCAGCAGCCCACAAGGTAAAATTCACGAAGTCCGACAGCCATTCAAATAGTACCAGGCAGGTAAAGAAAGGCGATAACTCCGCCCATAACCAGGAGAAAATTCCACTAAATCCAAACCACAAAACCAACACGGATGTTGGAATTAGCCGACGAAGACGTTAAAACAGGCGTTACGACAGTATTCCATGTCATCAAAATGCTATGCTAAAAATTGAACGGATTTAGTAAAAAACATGAAACATATAAAAAGGATCCAAATTAAACATCTAAAGATAAAAATGACTACATATGAGATGAAACACACTGGACAGGATTAACAGTGGATGGGACACCGCAGAAGAGGAGGGTGGTGAACTCAAAGACATCACAGAGACACAGAAAGACAAAAGAATCCAAAAAATAAACAGCTCCTTAGTGAGCAGTAGGTGGAAAAGCTTCGCGCAGTCTGACACGTCTGTAAACGGAGCCCACGAAGGAAGAGAGGAGGACAGGAAAAACTGAAGAAATCATGGCCAAAATTTGTTCAAATCTGATGAAAACTTGGCTGGGCACAGTGGCTCACACCTGCAATCCCAGCACTTTGGGAGGCTGGAGCGGGCGGATCATCTGAGGTCGGGAGCTTAAAACCAGCCTGGCCAATCTGGTGAAACCCCATCTCTACTGAAAATACAAAAATCAGCAGGGCGTGGTAGCGGGCGCCTGTAGTCCCAGCTACTCGGGAGGCTGAGATGGAGGGGCCGCTTGAGCCCCGGAGTTTGAGGTTATAGTGAGCCGAGATCGCACCACTGCACTCCAGCCTGGGCAACAGAGCGAGACTCTGTGTCAAAAAAATAATAATAATAATGAAAACTAAAACGCAGAGATACAAGAAGCTCAATGAGACCAAAGTACATCCTAGTCAAACAGAATCAGTGTTAAAGAGAAAATCTTAAGTTGTAGGGTGGGGGTGTGTCACAAAGAGGAAACATATTAAAATAACAACAGATTTGGGGTTTTTTTGGGAACTCATGCCAGTAAGAAAACTAGAGCAGCACCTTTGCAGTACAAACGGAAGAAGCTATCATCCTAGAAAAACATCTTTCAAAAACAAAGGCAAAATGAAGACATTTTCAGACAAATAACAATTGCACTGTACGTTAAGAAATAAAGAAAGCCCTTCAGGCGGGTGGAAAAGGATGCCAGATAGAAATATGGCTCGGTGGCTCATGCCTGTCATCCCAGCACTTTGGGAGGCAGAGGCAGGCAGATCACTTGAGGTCAGGAGTTCAAGACCAGGCTGACCAATATAGTAAACCCCCATCTCTACTAAAAACACAAAAATTAGCCAGGTGTGGTGGCGGGTGTGCCTGAGGTTGCAGCTGCAGCTACTCAGGAGGCTGAGGCAGGAAAATCACTTGAACCCAGGAGGTGGAGGTTGCAGGGAGCCGAGATCGCACCACAGAACTCTAGCCTGGGTGACAGAGCAAGACTCCATCTCGAAAAACAAAGGAAGGAAAGAAGGAAGGAAGGAGGGAGGGAGGGAGGGAGGGAAGGAGGGAGGGAGGGAAGGAAGGAAGGAAGGAAGGAAGGAAGGAAGGAAGGAAGGAAGGAAGGAAGGAAGGAAGGACCACATGATAGAATATGCATTTGAAACAGTAATTGTATGGGTAAATATAGAAGTTTTTTACTATTT